CGGGGCGTGTGAATACCGTGGTTTGCTCCATTGCGGCGTGCTTCACGGAGCCGTGCTCCCTCAGGGAGTGGCGTGCTTCATCATGGAGATGTACGTCGTGGAGGATTCCCTCGAGGGCTTCGTCGTGGACGGTTTCATCGTGGTCTTCAACAGGGTGGCGTGTGCCGGAGGCGTACTTTATCGAGGAGGGTTTCCTGAAGGGCTTTGTTGTGGCGTGCTTCCTCGGAACGGCGTGCTTCAAGGTGGTGTGCCTCATCGCGGCGTGTTTCACGGAAACGTGTTTCGCGGAGTCGGGTCTCTTAGCGGCGCGCTTTACCAAGCGCATGCGTGCTTCATCATGGCGGGCCTCATCCAGGGGGGCTTCATCGATGGCTTCCTCGTCGTGGCGCGCTTCGTTGTGGAGCAGTGCATTGTGAAGGGCTTCCTGAGGGTTGCTACGTTGAGGGCTGCTTCACTGGAGGCGTGCTTCACGGAGGCGTCCTTCATCGCGGCGTGCCTCAAGGATGCGTGCTTCCGAACGGCGCACTTCGCGGAGGCGTGGTTCCCAGAGTGCTTCGCCAAGAAGCGCTTCACCAAAGAATGCTTCACCAGGGATTGTTTCACCAAGGAGTGATTCACCAAGGTTCACCAAGGAGTGCTTCACCAAGGAGTGATTCACCAAGGAATGGTTCACAAAGGAGTGCTTCAACAGGGCGTGCTTCGGCATGAAAAGCGGCATCGTGGAATGCTTCACGGGGTGCTTTAGTGTGGAATTCTACGTCGTGGAATGCTTCAGCGTCATGGGGGACGTCATTGTAAAGTTCTTCATCGGAAAATGCTTCATCGGGGAGTGCTTCATAATGGGTGTGTGCTTCATCACGCGTGCTTCAACAAGGCGTGCTTCATCGTGGCGTGCGTCCTGGAAGCGGCAGCGTGCTTCACTAAGGCATGCCGCAGGAGGCGTGCTTCACGCAGGCGTCCTTCATCAAGTCCCCCTTTTTCAGGGCAATGGCGTTCGGTGGGCCATCATCTCTGTAGTCGCCTTGCCTTGTCCGTCCGTGAGCCTGTACAGCCTGGCCGTAGTCGCTCTCTAGTCACCGGTGGCCGTCACACCCGCGCGGCGGGGTGCAGACATAACAAGGTGTGCCGGATCTTCGGGCAACCGTTGCGGCTGCACCGCGCGGTTGCGGTCCCCCATCTGAGCCCAACAACGTGCTGGTTTTTCACCTGTCGTATTCCTACTATTCGCGACCAATCAGCATCACCACAATGAATCAGCATCACCACAACCAAGTTCATCTCCACCACCATCATCATCGTCATCACCATCTTCCTTCTCCTCCTCCTCCTCCTCCTCCTCCTCTTCCTCCTCCTCCTCATCATCATCATCATCATCACCATACAAGTCGCGCAACAATTAACGTGATACGTTCGGGGAACCAAAGCCATGACTACGAAGGTCCTCTTACGCTTCTGACCCTTGGTCTCGATCCCCCATCCCCCTCCCATTCCCCAGCCTCCTGCTCCTCCTGCTCTTCCTCCTCCTCCTCCTCATCCTTTTCCTCTTCCTCCTCCTCCTCCTCCTCACTCCTTCCATCCAGCCCCCATCCACCCTTCCATGCAGCCTTCACCCTTTCTGCTCCCATCCACCCTCATCCTTCCAAACGTCCCTCCGTCCATCCAGCTTCCGTTCATCGCAACTGGGCCGATCCCATCCTTCTCTTCCTCGTCCTCCCGTTCCTGCTTCTCCTCGTTACCTTCCCTTCTCTCTCCTCCGACCTATTCCTTGTTCCTCCTCCTCCTCGCTCTCATCGTCCTACTCCCCCTCCTCCTCCTCCTCCTACTCCTCCTCCTCCTCCTCCTCCTCCTCCTTGTCGTCGTCGTCGTTATCATCATCATCATCATCATCATCATCATCATCATCATCATCATCATCATCATCATCATCATCATCCTCCTCATCATCATCCTCATCCTCATCCTCATCCTCATCCTCATCATCCTCATCATCCTCATCATCCTCATCATCCTCATCATCCTCATCATCCTCATCATCCTCATCATCATCGTCATCATCAGCATCATCATCATCATCATCATCATCATCGTCATCATCATCGTTATCATCGTCATCATCATCGTCATCACCATCATTATTATTATCATCATCATAATCCTCCTCCTCCCCTTCCTCCTCCTCCTCCTCCTGTCCTCCTCCTCCTCTTGTTCCTTCCTCCTCTGGCCCGTGACTCCATCCAGACCCATCCCTCCATTCAGCCTCTCTCCATCCCTCTGTCCACCCCCCGCTCCATCCAGTTGCGCACCACCCCTCCATCAATACAGCATGAGCGCCTCCCTCCATCCAACCTCATCCGTCCATGACGCTTCCATCCATGCTTCCCGCCCTTCCCCACCCCTTCCCCATCCATCATTCATCCGGCGACCACCCCTCCAACATACGTCTGTATCCATCCAGCCCCCGTCACGGCATCACCGCTCCTCTTAGTCATTCCCCTCCTCTTTATCCCCCTCATCCTCCTCATCCTCCCTCCACACTCACCCTGCTCCTCCTCCTCCTCCTCGTCCTGCCTTCTCCTTCGCATCATCATCACCATCATCATCGTCGTCATCATCATCACCATCATCATAATCGACAGAACCATCGCCATCGTCATCGTGAGCATCGTCATCGCCATAGTCACTGTCACCATCATCATGAAGATGCGGATAATGCTGATGATGATGATGATGGTGAAGAAGGTGATGATGATGATGATGGTGGTGGTGGTGATGATGATGCTATCCTCGGCATCATCATCATCGTCATCATCATCGTGACCAACATCAGCAGCATCATCACCAGCAGCATCATCGTCAACATCATCAAGCTCGTCGACATCGCCATCCCCACCCCCACCTTCATCATCATCGTCATCACCATGATCACCGTCGGCATCAGCAGTAATCTCCTCCTCATCCTCCTCTCCTCCTCCTCGTCCCTCTCTTCCTCCTCCTCCTCCTGTCCTTCTCCTCGTCCTTCTCATCCCCCTCCTCCCACCGTGCCTGCCCCTCCTTCCTCCTCTTCCTGCTCCTCCTGCTTCCCCCCATGTTCCTCGGCCCGGCCCCGTTACCGACAGAAGCAGGACCGCCCTTTGAAGTCTCGTCGCCCCCCTCGCTGGTGACCGCTGGAGCGCAGAAGGCATGCAAGAACGGTAAGGGAATGCACGCGTGCTGTCTGGTAAGGGAATGCCCGTGCGCTGTCTGGTCAGGGAATGCCTGTTAGTTTTCTGGTAAGGGAATGCCTGCATGCTGCCTGGTCAGGGAATGACCGTGTGCTGTCTGGTTGGGGAATGCCTGTTAGCTGTCTGGCTGGGTGATGCCCGTTGGCTGTCTGGTAAGGGAATGCATGCGTGCTGTCTGGTCAGGGAATACTTGTTGGCTGTCTGGTTGGGTGCTGCATTGTGGCTGCCTGGATGGATAAAACGACGATGACATTTCACACGGCGGAATGGGAAACGCGATCAGACCCTGAGCTGAAAGATGCGTCGCTGGCAACGAACAAAACGCATAACGGAAGACGGGGTTCCGCCGCCCACCCCATCCCCTCCAAAGTTGATACCGAGAGCGCAATCGCCTGCGACCCGCGCGAATGTTCCAACTGCCTATCAACTTTGAGGGGGGGGCGGGAACTGCGTTGATCAACTTTGAAGGGGGGGTGGGGGTCGCGGCAGATGCGCCTCTCAACTTTGGAAAAGACGCCGCCGCGTCAGGTTAATTGTGACGCGACTGGTCACCACCACCACCACCACCGCCGCCACCACCACCACCACCACCATCATCATCATCATCATCATCATCATCATCATCATCATCATCATCAGCATCAGCATCAGCATCAGCATCATCATTATCATCATCATCATCAACATCATCATCACCATTATCATTGCCATCCTCAGCATCATCATCACCAGCATCAACATTACCAGTACCATCATCAACATTACCAGCATCATCGTCATCATTACCATCATCATCATAATCATCATCATCATCATCATCACCATCATCATCATCATCATCATAATCATCATCACCGTCAACAGCATCATGATCATCATCATCAACATCATTGTCATCACAACCGTCATCACCAGCTTCGCCGTCATCAGAAACATCATCAGCAGCATCAGTATAATCAGCATCATCATCATCGATATCATCAGCATCATCAGCATCATCATCAACATCATCATGAGCAGCATTAGCATCATCAACATGATCATCATCATCAGCATCATCAACATCATCAGCATCAGCATCTGCACCAGCATTGGCATCAGCATCTGCATCTGCATTAGTATCATCATCATTTTCATCAGCAGCATCAGCAACATCAGCATCATGATCATCATCAGCATCACCATCAGCATCATGATCATCATCAGCATCACCATCAGCATCATCATCAGCATCATCAGCATCAGCATCAGCATCAGCATCATCATAATCATGATAACCAGCAACACTAGCACCAGCATCAACAGCAGCATCAGCATCATCAACACCATCAGCAGCAACAGCATCTGCATCGTCACAATCAGCAGCATCATCAGCATCAGCAGCATCATCACCATCACCATCAGCATCTGCATCATCATCAGCATTTGCACCATCGTAATCATCATCATCAACATCATCAACATCATTATCATCATCATCATCATCATCATCATCAGCATCAGCATCAGCATCAGCACCAGCATCATCATGATCAGCAGCAGCAGCATCAGCACCACCATCAGCAGCAACAGCAGCACCAGCATCATCCTCATCTTCGGTATCACCCTCATCATCACCAGCCTCCTCCTCCTCCCCTTCCTCCTCCTCCTCCTCCTCCCCTCCTCCTCCTCCTCCTCCTCTTCTTCTTCTTCCTCCTCCTCCTCCTCCTCCTCCTCCACCTCCTCTTCCTCCTCCCCTGCGTCGACACCACCACCACCACCGCCACCCCTCCCGCGCGCCAGCGGCACGGAACGCGCCGCTGGGCCAGGCAGCTCGCTGCACCGGCGGCCCCGCGCCTGGGCTGGCGCGCGGGGCGGGGAACCGCATCCTACACAGCATCCCCCCCCTGCCCAGGAGGGGGAGGAGCCAGGAGCCCCGCGGCAGTCTCGTCCTCCTTCCCTCCTCTCCCTCTCGCTTCCTCTCTCTTGCTGTCGTTTCGTCCTTTCGTCCCTCTCGTCCTCTCTTCCCTCCTCTTCCCTCCTCGTCTGTTCGTCATCCCTCCTCTCCCTTGCTGTCTTTTCGTATTTTCGTCCCCTCTCGTCCTCTTCCCTCCTCGTCTTGTCATCCTCCCTCCTCTCTATTGCTGTCTTTTCGTCTTTTCGGCCCCTCTCGTCTTCTTCTCTCCTCTTCACTCCTCGTCTTTTCGTCAGCTGCCTCTTTTGCTTTCGCCCACCCCCAGCCGGCGACTGCAGGGGCGACCGCCCCGGGAGTCGCCAGGCTCAATGCATTGACCCCCCCCGCCCCCCAGGGGGGGACCGCCCCTGGGGGAGGAGGAGGAGGAGGAGGAGGAGGAGGAGGAGGAGGAGGAGGAGGAGGAGGAGGAGGAGCGAACGCCCACTTGCGGACGTCTGTACGTCACGGCCGACGCGGCCCCGCGCCGCCCGCGACGCAGGAAACCCCAGGGCGTGTCGCGCAGCGGCGACGGCTACCTTATTCATGTCATATGCGTTATAAGACGGGAAAAACGGGGCCCTGGCCTCATGTTTCACGCCGCTCTGGATGCGGAGGAAGTTGTAGGATTTGAAGGCCACGGCCCCTGCCAGGCGGGCGATGGCGCGCGGGATGGCGTCGTCATCGCTCCGCTCGTCGTTGGGGCCCAGGCGCATGATGATGTTCGGCGACACTTGTCCGCGAGGAAGGCAGAGATGGCTCCACATCCTCGGGCAGGTAATGTAGTGCGCGATATCGTCATTGTTCTTCTTGCTCTCGATGGTCGGGCAACCGAAGAGGCACGTGTGCTTGACGGAGTTGACGTGCATGGGGTAGTTCGTAGTTCACGTGCCTGCCAGCGTCTTGAGGACAGGCCAGAACTGCGACGGAGGGGCACGTGCGAGATGACGACGAAGCACGGACCAGCCAACAGCAAGCGAAGGAGGCCACTCTTCGACGTCCAGCATGTCGATGTTATGGTTGCTGTTGCCGCCCTGGGCGGCGTCTTCAAGAAGCCAGCGCTCTTCATCGCGTACCTCATGGGTAGTGAGCCAGCGGCGGCGGGCACGATGCTCAGCAGCTTCTTCGTCCATTTCGCGTTGTGCCGCCGCTGTCGGGTGGCTGGAGTGGTTGAGCGAGTGGCGACGAATGCGGGCGCGGGACGCGCTGTGCCAGCGACGCTCGCAAATGTCGAGTGCGACTGCGTGATGGCGGCCGCCATCTTGCCAGGGGCTGACGGCGCTTTTCGAACATGTCGCCGAATTGAGGGCGACGGAGGCAAATGCTGAGGTAGGGGGCGCACCGCTCCATCCAGTCGCGGTAGTCGTCGTAGCTGGGGTCAAAGTAGACGTTCGAGATCCATCGGGCGGCCCACGCATCCGCGCACTCGTTCACGTGGGCGAGGGACTGCTCGGCGGCGGGCGTCTGCGAGGGCACGGCGGTCGTCGGCATGGGTCGCGCGGCGAGGAGGGCTTCGCCGAAGGAGCGAGCAGACGGGGGCGTCCCGATGAGCGGGAACCAAGCTTTCAAGCGCGCGAGGATGGCATTGTCGAAGTTGTCGGTGTAGAGGGCGGCCTGGAGCTCGTGCAAGTAGGCGGGCTGTGGCGACGCGCGTGCTATAGGTTCCCTTTCCCCGGGCCTTACCACGACCCTCTCTCTGCATCAAGTCAAGGTGGGAGGGCGCGCCACGTTCGGGCCGACGCGCATTGTCAATGAGAGCTCGGCGACCAGCGGCCGCCGCGCGAAGATGGGCGGCAGCCAGGGAAAGGATAGCGCGCTCAGGAGCACCATGCACGCGCTTCAAGGTCTTGTGGATGAAGCCCTTGCAGGTCGGGAAGAGCCGGCCCGAGACGAGATGCTCGAAGCGCTGCGCGATGGAAAGCTTGTCTTCCCAGCAGTCAGCGCACCAATGTCCTTGAACGACTTGGCAGATAGGAAGACGACCCTCTGCAACAGCTCGGCGTTGGCGAAGTAGGCGCGTCCACGATGTCAGAATAGAAGAAGCCGATCGCATAGTCTCCTAACCCAGCGGCGTGTCCACACCCGTCCAGCGCTTGAAAGAGAAGATACCCAATTTCGTGAAGCTGGAGGGAGCTGCTCGAATAGCTTGCGTAGCGAGTGAATCTCCTTGGCGAGGAAGCGCGGCGATGGAGGGTTGAGCTGTCCAATGTAAGAGAGGCAGGTGACGGCGGCGACGTTGTAGAGCTTGATGCTGCGCTGTAAAGGCGAGCGCGCTTCCCCGAGAATATGCTGCCAGCAGGCGATTTCCATTGCAGGGCGAGCGTGGCGCCAGGGCCGACGAACGCACCCAGGTAGCGCGCGTGGCTGGCGATCTTGAAGTCCTTCCATGGTGGGCAGATGCCGGCGAGCGTGGGCTGGATGGATGCGATCAGCGAGTGAGTGGGGGGCGCCCAGGTCGGGGCGATGGTGCACTTCTTGGCCTGCAACCGCAGTCCAGCAAAGAGTTCCGCAGCACGGGGGCGAGGGAAGAGGTGCTCCATGTCGCGGCGCAGGCGCTGATGAGGCCGCGCCCAATGCGAGAGTTCGCGCTTGATGCCGCGAATGATGGGGTCGAAGATGAGCGCTCACAGCGCGCCGCTCAGAGGGCACCCCTGGGCGATGCCGGATTCGGCGAGCAGGAGGGGCCGGGGGGAACCGCCAAGCTCGAGAAAGACGAGCGGCATGTGGTAGCACGCCTGCAGCAGCGTGAGGAGCGGCCCGCGTAGCCCCCAGCGGCGCAACACTGCCTAAAGCCACTCATGCAGAAGGCTTGGGAAAGCGGCGGCGATGTCCATGCTGGCGAAGCAGGTTTGCAGCTGCTCGGCGTGCTCGCCCATGCTGAGCTGGCGGATGATGGAGGCGACCAGGACGATCTTGTTCAGGAGTTGTCTGCCGTTGACGAAGCCCTGCTGCTCGTCGGTGGTCATTGCAGCTACGCGGTGAAGCTTGCGATTGGTCGCAGACGCGATCGGTTTCACGTCGCTGTTCTTCATGGCGAGGGGGCGGAGGCAGTCGGGGGCCCGCGCGCAATCGAAGTTGCCGAGGGGCTCGTCGCCCTTCGGGGGCATGGCCACCATGGCGTAGTTCAGGTCGCAGGGGTTCGCGCGGCCGAACGCCGCGCGCTGCAGAAGGTCTGCAGGCGCGCCCAGACTGCCATGCGAGAGAAGCCGCGCGCGGCACGGGAAGCCGTCAGGTCCAGGCGCGGAGTCGCGCGCCAGACGCGCGACGACGCGCAGGCCCTCGCTGCCGGGGGGCTGGGCGTCGACGTATGGGCGCTGCGGGAAGACGCCATTGAGGTAACTTTTCATTGCGTGTACGTCGACCGCCTGAGCGGCGAAGACCTTGCTCCAGTGCGATTGGATGGCCGAGTGCATCGCCATTGGATCGGCGACGGTATGGTAGGTGGTGCCAGAGGAGATGCGGATGCAGCGAGGACGAGGCGCTTGGCGAAGGGCTTCCAGAGCTCTACACGTTTTGCTTCGCGACGCGATCGCTTTCCATTTTTCTGCAGGGTTGCGGCGCTGCTCTTGAACAGCAGCTCGGGAACGCAGCGGCTTCCTGTCGACGGAGACCGGCGATGGCGAGGTGGGTCGCGTCAACTTCATTGGCGAAGGCGCCCATATCGGCGATGGTGATCCGGTCGCTGTCGAAGGACAGGTAGGAGGCGCCGGCAGAGGTGTAGCGAGCGAGGGAAGAGGCGAGGTGTCGATCCTGGTGCCACGCGGCGCGGGCGACGCTGCGCAGAGTCATAGCACGGGCACCGCGCTTGATAGTTGGGTCGTCATCTCGATCTTAGGACGGGCGCATGGTGACCAGGGCGTCGCGAGCCTTCTGCGCCGCTGGGGCCGTGACGCGCTTCATTGCGCGCTGCTTCGAGACAGGGCCAAGCGAGTCGAGGTCAACCATGTTCACAAAGCGGTCGCAATAGAAATTGTAGTGCTTGGAGTTGAAGATGAGGGCAGGAATGCCCCGCTCCGCCGCGGGGCGCTGGGCGCGGGGACGGAGCAGAAGATGAAGTACTTTGCGGTCGCTAGCGGGCTCGCCAGCGCGCTCCAGAGGGCGGCCGCCCACGGCGCGGCACGCCTCGAGGTGGGGCGCGTGGAAGGCAGGCGTGGAGATGAAACGGCGGTCGATCGCGGCTGCAGTCCTGTTGGCGGAGCATCGGTGCGTCGCGGACTTCGTCGTGATCTCGCCCATGGCGGAGAAAATCTGCTTCCCGTATACTGCGCGCTGGTTGGTGCTGGTATCTATCCGCGGTGGGCGCGTCCACTGGGCGCGGCGTGCTTTTGGGCGGCAGCTCAGAGATGTTGAAATCGCCAATCAAGACAAGGTTGTCGCGCGCCGGGGTCGGCATCGAGGCGGGCTTTGGCAGCTGACCACGCTGCGGTAAAGAGCTGTCCGTCGGTCGCAGTCAGCTCGCGGTTGCGTGCATTGAATATGTCGGTCTCGCACTTGCGCTCGGCGTCGAGGGCGCGGAGCTCGGCGACGCGGCCCTTCGCGATCGGAATGAAGTCGCGCCGAGGTCGATGGCCCGCAGGCAAGCCGAGCTCGCTCTTGTCATCGGGGACGAGGAAGCCAATGCCACCAGCATTCTCGTCGATGTCGTTACAGGCCGAGTGGAACGAGATGTAAGGGTGGTGAGAGGAGTCGGCGAAATTCTGGAGGTCAGCGTAGTTGATGTGTGTTTCTTGCAGAGCAATGACCGCACGCTGCCTCGCGTAGGGCAGCAGGATGTTGCGCTTGATGGCGCGGCGTGATGAGGAACGGCCGATAAGAGCTTGAGTGTTCCAGGAGACGCTGTTCATGCCGTCGGATTGCGGTTTGGCGAACCATGGTGACAACCTCCTGCTAAAGCCACTGCGCGGAA